GTGCCAGGTGCTGATGAACGGGGACATTGTACTGCAGGGCACCACAGAACCTCTTCTTAAGGCCACTACTTCCAAGAGTAGGAGACGTAGCTGCCTTTCCTAACACAGAGAAACAGGCAGAGAGTTAGACAAAGTGAGGAGATAGAGGGATTATGCCCCAAATGAAAGAACAAGACAAAATCATGACGAGAGGTAAATGAAATGGAAATGAGTAATATGCCTGATAGAGAATTTAAAAGTAATGGTCATAAAGATAAGCAGTGGACTTGGGAAAAAAGTGGAAGATCTCAGTGAGACCCTCAACAAAGATACAGAAAATATATAAAAGAATCAATCAGAAATAAAGAACTCAATAACTGTAATTAAACATACACTAGAGGTAATGAATAGTAGACTAGAGGAAACAGAAAAATGGATTAGTGACCTGCAAGACAGAGTGGTGGAAAGAAATCAAGCTGAACAGGAGAGAGAGAGGAAAAAAAAAGAATAATAAAAAATGAGAATAGATTAGGGAACTAGTGACATTATCAAACATAATAACATTCTGATTATAGGGATCCCAAAAGGAGAAGAGGGAAAAAAAGGGGAAAGAAACTTTATTTGAAGAAATAATAGCTGAAAACTTCCCAAATCTGGGGAGGGAAACAGAAATCCAGATAGAGGTGGCACAGGGAGTCCCAGCAAAATCAACCCAAGGAAAATAATCCTAAAATTTGTATGGAACCACAAAAGACCCTGAATAACCAAAGAAGTCTTGAAAAAGAAAAACAAAACAGGAGGCATCACATTTCCAGACTTCAGGATATGTTACAGAGCTGTAGTAATCAAAACAGTATACTACTGGCACAGAAGTAGACACATAGATCAATAGAACAGAATACTGAGCCTAGAAATAAATTCACGAGTATATGATCAAGTAATCTATGATGAAGGAGGTAAAAATATACAGTAAGAAAAAGACAGTCTCTTCAATAAATGGTGTTGGATAAACTGGATAGTTACATGCAAAATAATGAAACTGGACCACTTTCTTAGACCATACACAAAAATAAACTCAAAATAGGTTCAAGATGTAAATGTGAGACCTGAACTCATAAAAATCCTAGGAGAGTACGGCCAGGAATTTCTGACATAAATCACAGCAACATTTTTCTAGATATGTCTCCTGAGGCAAGGGAAACAAAAGCAAATATAAACTACGGGGGCCACATTCAAATAGAATGCTTCTGCACAGCAAAGGAAGCAGTCAGAAAAACAAAAAGACAAGCTACTGAATGGAAGATGATATTTGAAATTTGCAAATGATATATCAATAAACAGTATCCAAAATATATAAAGTATGTACACAATTCAATACCAAAAACCCCCAAAATAATCCAATTAAAAATGGGGAGAAGACATGAAGAGACATTTGTCCAAAGAAGACATACAGATGGCCAACAGACACATGAAGAGACAGGTCAACATCACTCATCATCAGAGAAATGCAAATCAAAACCACAATGAGATATCACCTCACACCTGTTAGAATGGCTTAAGTCAAAGACACAAGAGAAAAGAAATGTTGGAGAGAATGTGGATAAAGAGGAACCGGTGAACACTGCTGGGAATGCAAATTGGTGCAGCCACTATGGAAAGCAGTATGGAGTTTCCTCAAAAAATTAAAAATACAGGGGTGCCTGGGTGGCTCAGTCGGTTAAGCATCTGCTTTCTGCTTGGGTCACGATCTCAGGGTCCTGGGAATGAGCCCCACATCAAGCCCCACATCGGGCTCCCTGCTCAGTGGGGAGCCTGCTTCTCCCTCTCTCTGCAGATCCCTCTGCTTGTTCTCTCTCTGTCAAATAAATAAATAAATACAATCTTAAAAAAATACAATTACCATATGATCCAGTAATTTCACTACTGGGTATTTACTCAAAGAATACAAAAACATTGATTGGAAAGGATATATGCACCCCTATGTTTATTATATGTTTATTATTTACAATAACTAGAATATGGAAGCAATTCAAGTGTCTATCAGTAGATGAATGGATAAAGAAAATAATGAAATATTGCCATTTGCAATGACATGGATAGATCTAGAGGGTATAATGCTAAGTGAAATAAGTCAGAGAAAGATAAATAGCATATGATTTCACTCATATGTGGAATTTAAGAAACAAAACAAACTGAGACGAATAAAAAAACAGACTCTCCACTATAATATTTAAGAAAATATTATAGAGAACTGTTGGTTACCAGAGGGAAGATGGGTGGGAACATGGGTGAAACAGGTAAAGGGAATCAAGAGTCACTTATAATGATGACCTCTGAGTAATATATAGAATTGCTGAATCACTATACTGTACACCCAAAACTAATATAACACTGTACATTAATTATACTGGAATTAAGAAAAAACATAGAACCAAACCAAAAACCATGGAGACCATGAGGATGTGCCATAACACTTTTCAAGTGCTTAAAGAACTACGAACAGTCAATTCTATATTTGGGAAATCCTATATTTGGGAAATTCTATATTTGGAAAATTCTGTATTTGGGAAATTCTGTATTTGGGAAATATATTCTGGTATTAAGAGAAATAAAGATGAAATAAAGATGAAAATAATTTTAATAAAGAAAACTAAAAGAAATATACTAGTATATCTACCCTTTAAAAAAAAAAGCTAAAAGATGTTCTTTCCACAGAAAGGAAATGATAAAATGATGAAATAATCTTAAAGCATCAGGAAAAAAGAACAACAGAAAGAGAGGGAAATGGGTCAATATAATAAATTACAGATACATTATGGTATGAAACATAGAACGGTGGAGGCATTATTTTAAAGGCATTGCATAGTCCAAATTTAGAGAATGAGATTATGTTTGAAAACTAGAAATGTCTCTTTGTAGATGCTATAAGAGATATCCTAATGTTTTCAGGATGGAGCTTATTTGCCTTCCATTAAATCACCAAAAAAAAAAAAAAAAAAAGAGAACATTTGATTTCTTATTTCTCAGGAAGAACTGAATGAACCAAAGTCTAACCAGCTGAAGACTCCACTAGAACTCCAAAGCATTACCCATTAATTGAGAGACTGGAAAGACATTTGTAGACAACACATTTTGGTGCAGAATAAATAGGGAAATGAGGTATATAAGTCTACAGTTGGCTCAAGAATTATGTAATAATAATTATAATGAGCTGCATATTCATCTTTGTGTTTCAGGGATTTTGTAATTGTCTTCATTTCTAAAAAATGTATTTTATTTCTGAGTCAATGTTGGCTCCTCAAACCCTCTTCCACATTCTGACTATATATATCACAGGAGGACTGATACTCTTGTATACTCATGTCATGTTAGTTCAATCAATGGGAGCCACTGGTGGGAATTTATGTGGGAGGGGGAAAGAAACTAGGGAAATCCTTCCTCCCTCTCTGACTTAGATGGTTTCTCCAGCAGATCCTGTCCCTGTGTCTCCTCTTGGTTGTAGCTCCCTCTGTGTATTTTTCATGCTATTAGCTCACTTGGGGTGACTTTGGAAACTAGGCTCCCTTTTATTGCCCTTGAGCCTAAGATGGTAGTGGTTTCCTGCTGTTGTTACTCTGTCCATGTTTGACTTGCAGATACTCTTTCACCTGTGAAACTAATTCTTGAATTGAATTCTCTATGTTAAATTGATTTTTGTTTATTGACAGATATACCTCAAAATCATGAATTAGAGAGCAGAACAAAACTAGAGGTCATTTAGTTCAATTCAATTCTGTATGTTGTAACACATAATTATTATTTTTGTTGTTCTTTTGACATACATATAAGTAAAAGCTAAAATGAGTAAGAATTTTTTGGAGTAAAAGAAAAAAAAAAAGAGCATGATCCACTATTTTTCTATGCTGGGATAAATTTGACTCTCAAGCCCAAATTCAAATGCCTTGAGAATGGACTCATCTTCCAGGCTCAGGATCTCTGATGCCTGAAATATCTATACCAATTTTTTTCTAAGGATCTTAGGGACTCTTCATCATTCCCAGACCATCCCATGCCCACAGCTCAGATTGTCTGACTTCAACAAACCCAATAGAGATATTTTGTTATCATGAATTAATTTGTTATCACGATTAGTAACTAAAATGCATAATGGCTACTTTTGATATCATTCATTTTCTAAATAGATTAATTAAAGCATTAAATTTTCAAAATATTTCTATATGAACTATTTTGAAAACTATGACTAAATAAACTAAACATGAAAAGAGATTTTGAGGGCATGAGCTACCTAAGTTTGACTACAGAATCTGGGAGCTCCGTATGGTACTGGGACAGGGAGAAGCTGACAAAAGTAGTAGCAAGACTGCCAACATGAAAATTAGTATAACAAGGTCATTTATAGACATGGGTTTGTGAAAAGTTCTTAGTGAATGAAAGAAATACATTTAGGGAAAATAAGAAACCATACAATAAGCTACAGAAAATGCTTTAAAAGATAGCATTCAAAATGCTCCCAAGGTGACTTGTACCTCATGAATAAATATCAGGATAGCTTTTGATACCTTTATGACTATTCATCTCTATGTCCCAGTCTTTGGGATCTGTAGGAAAAGAAAGAGCAAGAGTAACCGAGGAACAGGTGAAATTCCTTTGGTCAATTCTCCAGTGAGATCTGTTTCTCTTTTCCTCCCATTTTCTTGGGGACTTCTAGTTCCCCCGTATTGCTCTTCTTATCCTCCCTCCCCTGTGCTGCAATCTTTTGTTAGCATTTACTCTGTTTGAGCCCCCTCTTCTTGAAAAACCTCAAACCCCTTCCTTGAACATACATTCTCATACAGCTTCCAGCTGCTTCCTCTCACAAGCAAATTTTATTGAAGATATTTGTTTCAGTTGATTTCTCCCTTTCCTTGCCTCCTATTTCCTCTACTACCCACTGTAGTCTAGATTCCTTCCCTGTCATTTCTATTAAACTGTACATGGTATCTCTTGATTACAAAATTCATTGAGCACTTGAGTGTCCTTACCTTACTCAAACATTTGGAAGTATTTGGTGTAATTGACCCATCTCTACTTCCTGACGTGCTTTTGCCTTTGGTTTCCATGATATGATATTTCCATTTCTTCTTAGATTTCTTTGAGAGATCTTTTACTTCTGTCTATCTTGTTGTTGGTTCACAAACTAGCCCCAGTACACAGAGGGCACAGAGAGAACAAAGAAGAGGCAGACCACTCCAGACTGGTGGATGGCAGGTTTAATAAACAAGGAAATTCACTAACGAGGCTTGTCTTCCACAGCTGCAAGAAAAGTAGACCTCTGCCCCACCCACCAGAATCTTAAAAGGGCCTTAACTGGGTTCAACCATACATACTGTCCAGATAGTCTCAACAGTACATTACCATCTCAAGGTTGTGTCCTTGGGGCAGCATGTAGCGTGGGGAAGGCAAGCAGATTATACATTTCAAAGTTGGGGAGAGAGGGTGAAGAGCCTCTGCGGGGTCCAGCTTGCAGGTTAACCTGAGGCCATGTCCTCTGGATAAACCTCCAACACCTGTTAATTGCTGAGGTTACTCCCAGTTCAATATATATTTTTTTCCCTCTTTTTATGGGTAGTTTACCCAGTTATTATCTACTGACTGCTGAGTTGTTATCTACACATTAATTCATCTTCTACATGACCCTTATCCCAAACAAAACTTCTCACAAACTTTGTTCCTTATTTTCTATCACCTTCTTATGTTGCTATAAAAAATACATAAATTCAACTACCTAAACAGAAACCCATACATAATAATTGACTCCTGTTTCTCCTTCTCTCTTCAATTATCAAGTATCTGGTTTCAACTTTGATAACCTAGATGTAGTATTCTCCATTCTCTCTAATCCATCACTCTAGTTAGAGACATCATTATCTTTTACCTGAATTCAGCAAACATCTCTGACCCCAGCCACCTTTATCCAGCTTTGCTCTCCTCTTATCAGGTTTTTCTTCACCCTGCAGAGACAATGCTCTCCCCAAACATGAATATGATTTAATTTACAAGCCTTATTTAATTATATCTTGTTTCTAAGTCTTTTAATTCATGAGTAGGTTGTTTCATGAATGCATTTCAGATAGTTCAAGTATTACTACACTTATTTGTATATTTGTACAAATATCATAAATACATATATAAATATATATTCAGAGATTAAATGCATATGAGAACATTTATATTTTATGTAAACAAAAAACCCTCATGGCTAACAAAATTAAGTCATATTAACATTAAGAAGTATGGTCTAAAGAAAACATAATTTTAAGTATAAAATGTAATTATCAATGCCTTTTTCTGTTCCTTAAAGCAAGTCATGGGAGCAATACTTCCAGAAATGATTTGAATCTAAGATGGCTTTCTAAAATGTTGTCATTCTCCATTTATGCAGGCCATTTGATTTCTCCTTCCCTCCCAAAAATATCTTACACAAAAATTCCCCCAAATCTTTTCCTATTAACTAAAATTTAGCCTAATCAAGCCCAACCAGCTGAGCATCTTCTCTTGGAACACAAGTTAAAGGGAGAGCAGGTGTCACCAAGAGTAACTCTAGCCAATGAGAACCAAAGCCAACAGCTCATGCTGACATGGATATCCCAGCTCGTCTACAGAGAGGACAACAGTGGAGAGAGCAGAACAGCTACCCCTTTCCATCACTCAGGAAGGTGTTTCCCTGTTTCTTTCAGCCTTGCTTCTCAGTTCTGTGTTCCATTTCTAAGTGATTCCCATCTTTGACCTATGATTCTTCTGTCATGTCCTAGGACTCTCTAGTTGATTTCACCTTTTCACAAATGTAACATTTGGTGGATCCTAGTGCATGGCCTTTGAAATACCTTTATTTGCCACACAAATGTACTTGCCTTTCCCAATTCTGATTATTATTTTTAAAACATTTCCCAGTACCTGAGTCAAACATTTTTGCCCAAGCCTTTTTTTTTCTCCTAATAAAATACTGTTTACTCAATATGTAACACCCTTCCTGTCCTCCTTATACAGTTTCATCTTCTAGGCTATAACTTGGTGTGCCAATCTTTTACTCCCATCTGTAGGCAAGTTAAAAAAAGATATCTTCACTGTATCACTGAAGTCTTTCTTGTTCATATCCATGTATCAAGTCTATATGATAGAGTGGGCCACTAAGGATTATAGTGACTGATTTGTGTACTGGGTACTGACATTAATGGGAAATTTTATATTCTACAATTACATTTTCCAAGTAGTACTTCCATTGTTGTAAATAATATCAACCCCAACTAATAAGACATGGAAGGATATATATAGTTCTTTCCCAATACACTATTTTACAAAGTTAAATATGGATATTTTATGAAACCGTGTTTGCTTTTTTGGATAAGCTGTTCCAGATAATGTTCATAAGAATTTTTTCCCTAAATTAATAGTTTCTGACCTCCTAACAGGCAAGATTAAAGTTTGGTTGGGGTTGGGGTTGGTTTGTTATTTAAACTCTACCAAAATTCTTACCTGAACTGATTTCTCCATCTCTAAGGTTTCCGGTCTCCATTGCCCTTTTAATTGTGCTTTTTACAATAAAATAAATACTCATATTTTGATCAGAGCAGATATTGTAAAAATGAGCATAATTTAGAACCATGGATAATATAGAGGTTACATATCTTACTTCTTAACAACACTACTGACACAATGACATGGAATAAAAGGATTAGAAGCAAGCTTATTTGTTGAGTTTATTACCTCTCAGAATTCTTGGTTTAGTTATAAAAAAACAAAACAAAAAAACTCTCAAGATGGAAACATTTTGTTTTTTTCCTAACTATCTCTGAGATTGTGTGAACTACATTTGTGTCTTGTAGACTACCACTTTGGATCAACCTGGCCTGATTAAGTTTTCTCAGAAATAAGGGACCAAGAAGAATCATGACCATGACCTCAAAATTTATGTCAGAAATGGGAAAGCTTGTTTTAAAAATCCTGCCATCGTAGCCTTCTTCATATGCAAATAATCTTTGTTTAGAACTTGTGTTGTATCCAGTGACCCACCTATGGGGGGACTTGCATCTGCACTTTTGAATTTAAGCATCTTGTGTGCATTAGTTTCCTAGGGCTGCCATAACAAATTACCACATACTGGGTGACTTAAAACAACAGAAATTTATTATCTCACAGTCCAGAAATTCAGAAGTCCAAAACCAAGAAATTGCAAGTTTGGTTCTTTCCGGAGGCTCTGAAGGAGAAACTGTTCTATGCTTTTCTCTTAGCTTCTGGTAATTGCCCGTGGTCCATGGTGTTCCTCATCTTTCAGATGCATCACTCCATCCGTGCTTCCATCTTCATATAGCATGCTTCCCCGTATGTCTCTGTATCTTCACATGGCCTTTATAAGGACATCAGTCATGGGATTTAGGGCCTACCTTAATCCAGTATTACCTCATCTTAACTAATTATACCTGCAAAAAGCCTATTTTCAAATAAGGTCACATTCTGTTGTTGCAGATGGGCGTAATTTGAGCTGGGCAGAGGGGGACACTATTTAACCCAGTACACCACATTACCTACTTTGATCAATAAAATGTGAGCAGAGCATGTTGTATACTCTGGGTTTAAGTTTTAAGTGCTATAAGTGTTAACACTTTGTTTGCCATGCTCTCTTACTTTTCTCTTGACTCTGCCAATGTATTAAAATGGAATCTCCATCAGCCCAGAAAAGAGCCTCTGCAGTGACATATGATGTAACAGGTCTCATGTATGAAATATAGACATTATTGTTTTAAAACTCTAAGATTTTCAAGTTTGTTTTTTTTTTTCTTTCACAGAATAATTGGCTATAATGACTGATTAAAAAAAAAAAATAGTACTGGATCAGAGATGCTTCCTTAACAGACAACTTGGAATATCTGGCACTAGCTTTGAAGCCAGTTATTTGGTAGCAAGGGAATTTCTAGAGGCTAGAAATATGCTGATGCATGTCATGCAATAATTCAATACTTAGAAAAAGTATCGTATGTGATAACTTAGGAGGGATGTAGTGTACCCACTAAACTTTATCTTTTTTTTTTTTTAAAGATTTTATTTATTTATTTGACAGAGAGATAGAGAGAGAGAACAAGTACACAGAGAGGCAGGCAGAGGGAGAGGGAGAAGCA